TGCAGACGTTATGTCGACGAGATGTCCAGGGCGTTCATAAGGATTCGCGACTGCCGATGAAGCCCTACAGCAACGTGGTGCCGAAGTTGCTCATCGGACTGGACCATGGACATTTGGGATTGCCACTTAGGACGAGACGGTTTGCCAGAGAGGGACCGTTCGCGGCCGCAACCGAGCTTGGATGGGTTGTGTTTGGGCCAGTAAGTGGACAATCAACTACGCCGTCACCGAGATCCTGCCTTCTAGCCGTGTCAGTGGAGGACACGATGGAAAAGATGGTGGAGGACTACGTCGAGATGGAAGGCTTTGGTGTGAAGCTCGCGCAACCGGTCGCAGCCAGCGACGACGCGCGGGCCCAAAGGATCCTCGACGACACCACGGTGAAAGTGGGGCGTCGCGACCAGACGGGTTTGCTCTGGAAGGATGACCACGCTGTGCTGCCACGGAGCTACGAGATGGCACACAGACGGCTGATCGACGTCGAGAAGTTGAAGCGCCACGGGCCGTTGGCGCTAGGATACGATCGGATCATCAAGGACGTGTCCAAAGGATATGCGAGGAAATTGCAGCCGGATGAGGTCGCGGTGAAGAGCGACAAGCTATGGAATTTGCCACAATTCGGTGTCGAAACCCCGAACAAGCCCGGTGAGGTCCGGCTTGTGTTTCATGCTGCAGCCAAGGTTGGAGATCGACGTTCCCAACGATTCCTTTGGAGAGGTGGTAACGACGATCGAGACCCGGATGTGTACGAGGTGAGCAAGAACTTCGTGGGAGCCGACAAGGAGGCCAGACGATTTGGAGACGCGTTCGAGACGGAGAGGATACAGAGGCGGAGTATGGGAGCAGATGGTGCATTGCGTCAAGCGAGTGCTGCGCCATACCCTGGAAGAAGTCGCGCCGAGGGACCATGTGGAGTCCCACCATGGAGTACCTGCCTACGCTTGTGCGCCGCGAGAAGTGGTGCCAGGGAACGGAGCCCATCCGCCAGGGCGATATGGTCTTCGTCTGCGATCCTGCCTTGCCCAGACGAGAGTGGCGCAAGGGCATCGTGGAGGAGGTCTACAGCGGAGCCGATGGAGATGGATGGAGCTAATGGACTATCTTGGACAATGTTGCGGCCCGTCTCTAAACTTGGAGTTTGGATTTGAGTGAAGCGGGTCTTCACGGGGTCGGGGATGTCGACGGTCAAAAACATTGTTATCGATAGTTAAGTCAGTATTATTAGGAAATGTAGTATTTTAAGTTGTCGGAATTACGGGCCTACTAATAGCGGTAGTGTGAATGCCGCCAAAAAGTGCCATTCATTGTTTTGTTGATTGTAGGAGGGCACACTGCGGTAAGAAGAAGGATTAATATTTGAATTGTAGAATAATTTATGAATTTACAGAATAAAACGTTCCGTTAGCCACAGCCAAGGCCTTTGAAGTACCCCTTTCTTCGGACCTACGCGTGTGGGGAGCCGTTTAAGGCAACTCCACATGACACAAAACAACATATCGATTTTTTTTTTGTGATATTTCTTAATATTATCGTTTGATATTTTTTTCACAGCAAATATCATCAATACGATATTTTTTCAAAAACCAACAACCCTAGTGTGCAACTTGAGTGCTAGAGATGCAAGAAAATCGATGCATCGATGTGATTCATGTTTTTTAAATCATCGCTGTTTTTTCCTCCCAATCGATATTTTTGAGTTGTCACCTAAAAACAGAAAAAGAAATGAAGGTACATAAAAAGGGTATTTATTTGTTAAGCATAGTACTGAGTTGACGAAAATCCGCTGTCGAATGAGTGACAGCTGTCAAACTCCATATAAAAAAAACGGTGTAAAAAAAGGAAGAAGAAGAAATTTTTGCCTTCTAGATTTTGCGAGTACTGAGTTGACGAAATTTTTTGTTATCGATTTCAATGGTGTTGCCGGATCAAAAAAAATAAACAGCTGCTCTCGGGGAGTTAAAAGAAATATTTCAATTTATTTCTATAAGCATAGTACTGAGTTGACGAAAATCCGCTGTCCAACGAGTGACAGCTGTCAAACTCCATATAAAAAAAACGGTGTAAAAAAGGAAAGAAGAAGAAATTTTTGCCTTCTAGATTTTGCGGGTACTGAGTTGACGAAAATTTTTGTTATCGATTTTAATCGTGTTGCCGGATCAAAAAAAATAAACAGCTGCTCTCGGGGTGTTAAAAGAAATATTTCAATTTAATTTTATAGGTGTGACATGGAGGGTCAATTGACCAAACAAAAAAATAGTCGGCCCGAAAAATTTTCGACGCGCCAGGACAAATTAAAATTCATTTCTGTGGTCAAGACTAAGCCCATAATATGGGATTTGACCCACAAGGGGCATTTTAATGCCATAAAATGGCATTGAAATGATTTGTGATTGATTTTGATTTTGACCCAGTTTTCTATTTCTTAATCAGCTCCTTAGCGGCGAAATACATAAACAAAACACCAACATTCAATCGTTTTGAATTCATTTTTGCTTATTTGTTTTTTGTTTACAAACAACAGCTGATCAGTATTATCTTATTTCTTCATTTTTTTGGTCACACTACCTCGGTAGTTGAATAAAGTGCAAAATCGCTATCAGAATTTCAACAGCGGATTTTCGTCAGCTCAATACTATGCTATAGGTGTGACATGGAGGGTCAATTGATCAAACAAAAAAATAGTCGGCCCGAAAAATTTTCGACGCGCCAGGACAAATTAATATTCATTTCTGCAGTCAAGGCGAAGCCCATAATATGGGATTTGACTCACAAGGGGCATTTTTATTCCATAAAATGGCATTGAAATGATTTGTGATTGATTTTGACCCAGTTTTTTATTTCTTAATCAGCTCCTTAGCGGCGAAATACATAAACAAAACACCAAAATCGTTTTGAAGTCATTTTTGCTTATTTGTTTTTTGTTTACTGAATTAAGGTTCAGTATTACCTTAATTACCTTGTTCAGTATATTTCTTAATTTTTTTGGTCACACCAGCTCGGTAGCTGAATTAAGTGCGATATCGTTATCGGATTTTCAACAGCGGATTTTCGTCCACTCAGTACTATGCTTTAGTATTTAAATTAAAATTTAAAGCCTAGTACTCTGACGACGAAAATCCGCTGTCTAACGTGTGTCAGCTTTTAAACTCCATATAAAAAAAAACGGTGTAAAAAATGGAAGAAGAAGAAATATTTGCCTCCTAGATTTTGCTGGTACTCTGACGACGAAAATAATGGCTATCAAATTGAATGGCGTTGCCGGATCAAAAAAAAATAAACAGCTGATTTTGGGGTGTAAAAAGAATTCATTTGATTTCTTTTGATAGCCATAGAGCGAAAATTGAGAGAAAAAAATTGTCGGACCGAAAAATTTTCGGCCCGCGAGGATAAAGTGAAGCTAATTAGTGCGGTCAGGGCGAAGCCCATAATATGGGATTTGACCCACAAGGGGCTTGTGATTGATTTTGATTTTGACCCAGTTTTCTTTTTCTTAATCAGCTCCTTAGCGGCGAAATACATAAAGAAAACACAAAAATCCAATCGGCTTGAATTCATTTTTGCTTATTTGTTCTTTGTTTACAAACATCAGCTGTTCAGTATTACCCTTTTCCTTAATTTTTTTGGTCACCCTAGCTCGGTAGCCAAATAAAGTGCGATTTCGCTAGCGGATTTTCGACAGCGGATTTTCGTCGTCAGAGTACTAGGCTTAAAAGTTGTTCATTTGCAGTAAAAGAAAATTCAATATATCACGCAGGACGCTTTCTTCCTTTCTAGGCAAAAATTTCTTCTTCTTCCTTTTTTCACACCGTTTTTTTTATATGGAGTTCGGCCGCTGTAACACGTGTGACAGCGGATTTTCGTCGTCAGAGTACTAGGCTTTAACAACAAAACAGCAAGATGCAAAAATTGCTAGTCAAGGCGAGTGCCGTGTAAAAAATAATTTCTAAAAAACCATCGAAAATTTTTTTTTTATTAAAAAAAAGGAACACTTTTTCGTTTAGATGGACAGTTGTGTAAAATATTTATTTTTCAATATTTTTTTGACATCCCACTATGTTTTTCCGGATAGTGATAGCCTAGCGCCTCTTTATAATACACTACTTCATCTGGTAAAATCTTTCTGAAATTTAATATTTTTTTGTCTTAAAAATGTACACGTATACTAGAATTCTGCTTAAGATATGAAAAGAAATTCAAATTTATATTTTTTAATGGGCCAAGGAAACAAATTCGCAAAAAATCAGCTAAAATAATGCTTCAACTCGGCATTGACCCCCTAAATTATCTTCGCTCCTTAAAAACATACAGTATCATACAAAAGAGTATCAAACATCGATATTTTTCTCTGGTATTTAAAATAAAATCATAATATTTTTTATAAAAAACAAAAAATCGATACGATATTCTTTTCAATTTCCGACAGCCCCAGCTGGGAGCAGTCGCATTAGTGTTGCAAAACCTTAAAAAAAAAGTGTTACAAAGCTATGTAATCTTAGTGAGACCAAACACAAAATTTAAAAAAAAGATATTTTAGTAACAAAAATATTACGTATTTCGATATAAATAAATATTTTTGACATCCCTCGTCCCTACCAAAAGCTGTCGCTAAGAACAGACCGGAATAGAACAGAACACAAATATTGGCACATCGCACCAAGCTCTCGCATTATCATCGCTTTGCTTACTTTAACCCGAAAGCGAATCGTTGAATCGTTGCTTGTATCACCCGGTGCAAACACCCACCTTGTGTTCATTTAAGTCTGTACGCCAAAAAGCGGGCCAAAATCAATATCTACTTGTGCGGTTTTCGCGGCTTTTTTTGTGATTTTTTTTAAAAACAATCAATACCCGAAGGTAACGTGTGTAGATAAATAACAGTTCATCTCAGTGTGCGTTGCGTTCGTTGACGCTTGACATATTGGTACACATTTTATTTGTTATTTTACCTTGTTTGCCATTTCCAATTGCATGCAAACCCAAACCAGAGCTGGCATTAAAATCCTGAGATATCCCTTCAGCAACCCTATACGCCCATTCAGCAGTTGGACGAGCAGATACGGGATCTTTAGCAATGTGTTGGGTGGGGTGGTGAAAGGAGGGAACGTCACTCGGTACACACAATCACAAAAAATGCACGCATGCAGTGTAGCAAGCATTTTGCGTTTGAATGTGTATATAAACATTGCCTAGCTCGCTAATATGAAGGAAAATTAAAAATACTAAAGCATATTAATGAAAAAAAAAACACTTCAGTCGAGTGAAAAACATTCTCCTTCACCAACTTTTTTATAACTTGAACTTTGCGTAAAAAATAGAATTTTGTAACAAATTATTTGGAGCTAATGGGCTGCACTTTGAGTATTTCTTAGTATACCATAAAAATAATTCTACGTCATATTTCTATGAGTAAGTCTATTCCTGCGTTCCCGAACTTAAACCTGCATCTGCATATGCAGAGTACATATGTACATACAATAAATATGTACGCACTACTTCGTTTTGGTTAAGATCTTAGCTGGGATGTAATGTTTAGTTGATTCGTGATTATCCTACAGTCCTCGCCGTTCACTTGCTTATTGGAAAAACTAATTATTTCGATTTATGTCACTCTAAAGGATACTGGCGCATTCACTTCACAACTATTAAACACTAGAGGAACCAATTGAGTAAATCAATTAAATCGTATTAGTGCTAAATGTCTAAAAAAGCAACGTTTAATATTTTTTGTGAGTGTCTTATACTTTGTGAAATCTGTACATAAATTTATAAACTGATTGCGAAAATTTGATTGCTCATCTCGTATTTAAATAAGTACATGTCCAGCCCTATTTTCAAAAATAACATAAGCTCCATTCTTCAGAAAACCTTTTTTTTTTATGCAAATGTGTACATAATCATCAACCGCAATTGCTCCCAAAATATTAAAAACTAGTTGCATCTATTTACTGAGATATCGCCCTGTCAAGGGCGACAAATGCCTATGTTAGTGGCCGTGAAATTCTCCTGTAAAATTAGCTTTTTGGCGCTTACGTTATTTTCGCAAATAGAGCTCGATATGTACATAAATAAGTAAATAAGGATTTTGATACGTTTAGGGCTTAAGTATCACACTTCTGTGTGTGATGTAACGTATTATTGTTTTTGCTGTTGAAAATTATTGTCTACATATATGTATGTACATATATATACATATATTCTTTAATTTGTAATTAGTAGAATATTATTCAAATTCAGTACACGTCAGCACAGTGAGGACTTTTCAATATTGAAGAAATTCCTTTGATAGGAATTGACACAAATAGCAATATTACACAAATCTACGCTTTTAATCAAGCACCTTAATCTAACATTGTGGGGGGTCTCCTGTATATAACCATTCCGTTTCAGGGTTATATACATATGAACATTTATACATACATACGTGTACATACAGTATGTCAAGAAACTTATTACACACGTAAAACGAAAAACTCTCTTTTAGACTACATGAAAAAAGGCTTTGGTGTTTGGTTGCTTACATTTTATGTTTTACACAGAATTTTTCTTAGAACTGCAAAAATAAAAAAATTAAACCACGGGAAATCAGTAAAGATAACAAAAAACGAGTATACACTTTTTTTAACAGGTCGAGAAACTCTTATCACAATGTAAGCAATTATTTGTATTGGTGATCATTTTGTTTTTATACCCTTGCAGTGGATACTATTATTTTGGTCAAAAGTGTGCAACGCAGTTAAGGAGACATCTCCGACCCTATAAAGTATGTATGTACATTCTTGATCAAAATTGCATCCTTAAATTATATGAGCATGTCCGTCTTTCTGTTTCATACAACATATAAGTGACATAAGTCACAACGGCTGGGATCGGCAGACTATATCATGTAGCTACCATATAACTGATTGATCGAAAATGGTATAATTTTGGTGTTTTTAGAGTTCAAGAGATTCATGAATATTATTTTTGGCAAAATAATTCGACATACCAAATTTCATAAGGATCGGCCGAGTGTCATATAGCTGCTATATAACTGAACCGTACAGATTCTTTTTTGGTCAGTTAATCTGACCCTAAAAATTTCATAACGACTATATCTTATAACTGCCATATAACTCGGAACGATCGGAAATGGTATTTGGTATTTGGTAAAAATACCAACTTAGGTATTTTTGAAGATAGAAACTTGGGACTTTTTTTTAGATTTTGTATTGTAATAAATTTGTTTTATTATGATATTTTTATGAGGATCGGCTAACTGTATTCGATGTTTGTGATATAAAATCCGGTTTTAACTGCATGGCTATATCAACTTCGGTTCCGCTCCTTAAGTTAGTTTTTCTTTCTTGTTTTTTATTACTGCACGTTTATGTACGATTTTTCGGGAAAAGCGTTATAGCTTCAACAATTTATATAAATTCCTAACAAAAATATTGTCTCGTGTTCTGTATTAATCAGACTTTATTGATATGTGACATGAATGAAAGAATTTTTGCAATTTGTTCCGAAAAACTGGGATCAAAATCCGAAAAACACGAATAAAATGCGAAAATTTACATTTCTGTTATAAAAAAAATTATTTTAATATGAAACTCTCATAAGTATTTAAAATTGTATCTAAAGTTACGGTATATATCTGATTCAATATATAAATATCTAATAATATAAACTGCCACTTAAATGCAACGGTATATTAACGTAGGCTCCGCCGGAAGTAAGCTTTTGTTCTGGTTTTTTATGTTATAGAGTTATTAGACCCCTTAAAATTATATAGGGAAATATTTGGATCCACTGAGGTTGGAAAGGTGTTTGCTGTTTAAAAGGAGTATAGGAAATGTTGAAAGGATAGAAATCAGTCTGGTTTGGCTTACATTTTTATTTTTGGCTCAGATTCTACTGCTACTAACTTTATACTTGCTGTACTTCTTGTTATCGCTATCGTTGTTGTTGTACGTGTTTGACCCGACCTGAAACTTTCGTATTTCACATATATAATACAATAGAATGGGCACTGAAACCAAGAGCAACAGTTACACAGGACAGATATCAACAAGTGGCGGCAACCCGAAAGTGATGAAAGATTCTTTATCCTTAGTTCGTCAAACTGTCAAGCAGCATTCACAATCGAACTTTATCCAGAATCACTGCACTTCAAATTCAGAAATCGACAACGAACACAAAACGAGTGATATTCGACTAAAGCAAAAGGATCAATCCACTGTGCCCTTTGTTCCCATATTTGTTGAGGAGGCCCATGTAATTCGAGGGGCCAAGGAACTGTTAAAGGTTATTAGACCGTCCTGGGACCTCAGCCACGTCGAGTTTAAGGTAATGTAAGCTCCATTCATTCAAAAACTTCGTAACGATGATCACTTCATTACCTCTAAATCATTATCCCATTCAATAAAAAACCACCAACACCACTGTCAATGCCATATTCTTTACTCCATTAGATAAGAGTAGTTCGACGATCGCTTGCTGATTCGATCGCTATCCGGCCAGTTTCCCAGAATCGCTGATGATGATGATGTACGTTTCTCTATACTTTGTTACGATCACCAACTGGTGTACGGACCTGAGATATTTGTAGATGATAACACAGCTTGGGCCGGGCTATTGCACAACCAACTATGTTTTCAATAATAATAATCAGATACATACATATGTACATATATTCAACGTGCACGCTTCAACCTTGAGTATAGTAAATAGACTTTGTGATTTTACTTTGAGTTATTGGGTTGTTGTTAGAAATTAACATTATTCTTGGTGGTATTAGTGTTAAGGTTGCAGTAACATAGTTTTAAATTTTGAGTGCTTACTTGATGGCATTATAAACAAGTTTTTAATCTAGATTTTGACATAAACGCAAACGAAAAAGGTCGAGTGGCAAAAGGTTAAGGAAATTCCAAATATTCTGAGGTACATGGACTGAAGACGTTCATTTAAAGTTCAGTTGGCACAAATTTAGGAAATACCGAATTACCATTCTGTTGTTTTTTATACCCTTGCAGAGGATATTATAACTTTGGTTCAAAAGTGTGCAACGCAATAAAGGAGACATCTCCGACCCTATAAAGTATATATATTCTTGATCAGTATCATCTTCTGAGTTGATATAAGCATGTCTGTCTGTTTATACGCAAACTAGTCTCTTAGCTTTACAGCTATCGACTCTTAACTTCGCACACACCCTTTTTTTTTTTTGCACGCAGTATATATGTAAGTCGGAACGGCCGGGATCAGCCGACTATATCCTATAGTTTCCATATAACTGATTGATCGGAAATGGTATAACTTTGGTGTTTTTAGAGTTAGAGAGTTCAAATTTTACACGAGCGCTATCTTTGGCAAAATAATACGTCATACCAAATTTCATAACGATCGGTCGACTATATCTTATAGCTGCCATATAACTAAACGACGGAAATGGTATTTGTTAAAAATACCAACTTTGGAATTTTTGAGTACAGAAGCTTGGGACTTTTTTTTCAATTTTGTATTCTAACAAATTTGTTTTCAAACTTTATCCGATATTTTTTTTAAATATATCCGATCTTTACTGCTAGGGTATATTTACTTCGGATACGCACGAAGATAGCTTTTCTTTCTTGTTAAATAGTTATAGATTAATAGTTAAAGATTATGGTGCATGTGTGTATATGTATATTCTGGAGAGGAATTTAATTTGAATTTCGTTCATTTTGCCTTATCGGATCCCACTTATACTCGTTGACCTCAGTACGCAATGGCGTACATATGTACGTATAATCTTTTTGATTGGCCCAGTTTATATATTAAATTTACTGAAGTATCGTATGAGAAAAATTAATTCAAAGTCGTAAATTAGAAATGTAAATACTAACCCAAATAACTAAAAGCCGCACATAATATTAAAGATACTGATTGAAGTAGTTGAAATTAGGCAGCTTTAAAATTACTTCGAATATGCTATAATGATATAAAGCAGTGATCGGCACTCAATACATTGATATGATTTTACCGCATTAGTATTAGTAACGAAAAGCAGAAAGTAGGCTGTTATACTGGCATTTATAATGTGTCTGTGTGGCAGAGCTCGGGTAGAAAAATTTCCTATACCCGCGGGATAGGGCTGTGCCGTCCACTGATAGAAAGCTATAATGAAAAAGATGGTTCTAAAGATTCATTTATTTGTAAATCTCACTAGGAGTATTTAAAGACACCTAGATTATGGCTAAAGGCTTAAGTCAAATAGTTTATCACCAAAGTGTACACGAGTTTACCGCCCATATGAATGTATTTATATATAAACGCATGTGAAGCCGATAACGACGGCGACTTGTGTGTCTCATACTGTAGTTTTTGTGAAGGGGTCTGGGCAACATTTTTTTTATTGGTGTTCCATTGAAAATTTTCCATTGCCTGTACTTAACGCTTTTATCTTGACTAATACTACCTCTTACCACTAACCATACAGCATATAGACAACCCATTTCATACAACGAAAATGGACGCGAAAATTTCTTGCGACAGGCCCCAGCAGGCCCCAGAGCGGATTTCTTACGCTCTCTTACGCTCATCGTTCGTTCATCTTACGCTCATTCTCGCAATAAATGTTTTCTGTTTCTCAGTCTCTAAACGGAGCGCGATGAAGAAGGTTGGCCTGCGCTTCGGTTGATCTTTGTATGTATGCGTGTCACACATTCACATACATGGGTGTATGTGTGCGTGCGATTTCGTTTCGAAGCCAGCGCACAAAATTTTGATTTTTCTTACTTTTAAGGCTTGCTACCCTAACAAAATTCGGGTATTCGTTATTTGATGAAATGACGAAAGAAATTATATTATTTTTTATTTTATTTTTTTTTATTATTTCAGCATACATTTTTAATTTATTTAGGAATAAGATTAAGTGTTAGTAGTAAAATGTTTTCTGTATATATATTTTTACGAATCATTAAAAATCAATATACTGAGAAAGTGTCAGAGTATATTTCGGTCGGAGTCACTTAAAGCGCCGATTGCTTTTAAGTTTTTGTTGTTCTGCAAGAGGCTTGTGCATGCCTACTCTAACGATGGAATGATTTTTAGGGGAGGGTGAAGACACGAAAACAGCTGATGGACTTGTTTACCTTTTTTGTTTACAATTTTTCAGGCACTTGTTATTATATTTTGGGTTATTGTGAGATTTAATTAAATTATTGTCGTTAATTTAATAATTTCCTTATATATATTTCCTTATATATAATAACTTTAAAAAGTAATTTAATTCTTCACCCGTCTTCACCCTCCCCTAAAAATCATTCCATCGTTAGAGTAGGCATGCACAAGCCTCTTGCAGAACAACAAAAACTTAAAAGCAATCGGCGCTTTAAGTGACTCCGACCGAAATATACTCTGACACTTTCTCAGTATATTGATTTTTAATGATTCGTAAAAATATATATACAGAAAACATTTTACTACTAACACTTAATCTTATTCCTAAATAAATTAAAAATGTATGCTGAAATAATAAAAAAAAATAAAATAAAAAATAATATAATTTCTTTCGTCATTTCATCAAATAACGAATACCCGAATTTTGTTAGGGTAGCAAGCCTTAAAAGTAAGAAAAATCAAAATTTTGTGCGCTGGCTTCGAAACGAAATCGCACGCACACATACACCCATGTATGTGAATGTGTGACACGCATACATACAAAGATCAACCGAAGCGCAGGCCAACCTTCTTCATCGCGCTCCGTTTAGAGACTGAGAAACAGAAAACATTTAATGCGAGAATGAGCGTAAGATGAACGAACGATGAGCGTAAGAGAGCGTAAGAAATCCGCTCTGGGGCCTGCTGGGGCCTGTAGCAAGAAATTTTCGCGTCCATTTTCGTTGTATGAAATGGGTTGTCTATATGCTGTATGGTTAGTGCTCTTACATAACCCTTACACATACACATAGAAATCAAATCACGTAGAAGACAACTGACCGGCATTTATCTTAAAACTTTTCATTTTACTTTCTAAAAAATATTACGACTTAACAAGTAATGCTCTAATCCTTGCTAATTTTAGAGCTTTACCGATGGCATCACGAACAAACTGGTTGGATGTTTCCACAAAGAAATTGACAAATTAAACGATGGGAACAGAGGATTATATTTGCCGATTAAAACTTTGGGCGTTTCGCCAGAGCAGGGAGAGAGTACTGTTATTATTGAAAAAGAATTCTCAAACTGTACAGCGTCGGATGATGTACCTGTACAGTACTCCGATAACGTAGTGCTAGTCAGAATATATGGCAACAAAACGGACCTGCTTATTGACCGCAAGGCAGAAACGCAAAACTTTTTACTACTGCATACCTACGGCTTGGCGCCATCGCTCTACGCCACGTTCAAGAACGGCCTCGTTTATGAATATGTACCTGGAACCACATTGAATACCGAAAGTGTGCTCGGTCCAGAAATTTGGCCCTTGGTTGCTCGTCGCATGGCTGAGATGCATCGCAAAGTAAAAAAAACTGGGGATACGTCGACACCATTGCCGATGATATGGAAAAAGACGCAGAGCTTTCTTGATTTAGTACCTGAACGTTTTAGTGATGCTGATAAACACAATAGGTAAGTTTAATATGGTCGTGTAATAAGATTCAAATTTCATATTAAAGTATTTAAAATTGTAGAGTAAAAGATACGTTTCTACCTATCGCTCGCTTGCGGAAGGAGTTTAATAAGTTATACCAATACCTCGAGGCTCTTGACAGTCCCATTGTTTTCTCCCATAATGATCTTCTTTTGGGCAACGTTATCTACACAAAAAACCTAAACACGGTAAATTTTATTGACTACGAGTATGCAGACTACAATTTTCAAGCCTTCGATATCGGAAATCATTTCGCCGAAATGTGCGGGGTAGACGAAGTGGACTATACTCGTTACCCAAAACGCGACTTTCAACTGCAGTGGTTGCGAGTCTACCTTGAAGAATACCTTCAGCGCAGTCAAATTAAAAATAAGGACGTGGAATGGCTTTACATCCAGGTGAACCAGTTTGCGTTAGCATCTCATATTTTCTGGACCGTATGGTCGTTATTGCAAGCTGAACACTCCACTATCGATTTTGATTACGTTGGGTAAGTATTACTAGTTTTTAGGATATAGAACAAACTTCTAGCTGGTGGTAAATTTGTCAAAGTTGTAAGTCATTGAAGGAATCCTATAACTCCGACCCTTCAAAGTATATAGTATATGGAAAAATTCCAGAATGAGTTTACCAGCGATAGCTACCATGTAACTGCATTATTTCATGTAAAAATTTCGCCACATTAGGCTGTTTCTATTATTGTTGATTATATATACCTATTATATACTTATTTATTATACTTATACTTACAATTTTTATACCCTTGCAGAGGGTATTATAATTTTGTCCAAAAGTGTGCAACGCAGTGAAGGAGACATCTCCGACCCTATAAAATATATATATTCTTGATCAGGATCACCTCCTGAGTTGATATGAGCATGTCCGTCTGTCTGTCCGTCTGTCTGTCTGTCCGTTTCTACGCGAACTAGTCTATCAGTTTAAAAGCTATCGTCTTGAAACTTTGCACACACCCTTCTTTCCTTTGCACGCAGTATATAAGTCGGAACGGCCCGGATCGGCCGACTATATCCTATAGTTGTCATATAACTGATTGAACGGAAATGGTAATGGAAATGGAAATGGATCGGCCGACTATATCTTATAGCTGCCATATAACTGAACGATTGGAAATGACCCAACTTTCGTGTTTTTGAAGATAGAAAGCTGGAACTTGGTACAGATTATATTTTTGATCAGTTGATCCGACCCACCAAATTTCATTAGGATCGGCCGACTTTATCCTATAGCTGCCATGTAACTGAACGATCGGAAATGGTATTTGGTAGAAATATCAACTTTCGTATTTTTGAAGATAGAAGCTTGGAACTTTTTTTTTAGATTTTTTATTGTAATTAATTGGTTTAATTATGATGTAATCATAAGGATCGGCCAACTATATCCGATGTTTGCGATACATATCCGGTTTTAACTGCAAGGGTAAATCAACTTCGGCTCCGCCCGAAGTTAGCTTTGCTTTCTTGTTTTAAATGTATACTTTAAATTATACAAAGAATTAAAATTGTTTAAATATTTTGTTTTGTTATTAAAAATATATGTTTTTATATTTTTTACATGCGCCACGATTGTGTCATTTGCGATCGTTCAGATCGTTTAAAACAAGCTATAGGATAAAGCTATAGGTCAGTCAATCCTTATAAAACTTTCTGGAACGGATAAATTTGCTAAAAATAGAATCTGTCGAAAGTCGTAACCTTTTATCTTCAAAAAGGTCGAAGTTGGGCCAAGTGCGTAACCTAGAGTACGCCATAATGGTTTCACAGCACTTTCAAAAAAAACCCTACATTTTTATACCCTTGCAGAGGGTATTATAATTTTGGTCAAAAGTCTGCAACGCAGTGAAGGAGACTCCTTATTAATGAGTTCCTTTATTGTTTTAAAAACTTATATGTTCACTCTTCTATGTTAGGCTTTCATTTATATTTGGCTTTTTTGTGGTTTATTATGAATCATTAGCTGAAAACTGTAAATTAAAGTTAAAATTTAAAAGCTACTGCCATTTTGTGCCGAGTTTGACGCGACACTTTTTAAGCAATTTTTGCTAAATTTAACAGTCAGGAAATTATTATTTACGTCACTCGAAAGTTTTTAAAAACATATATGCAAAAGTTGACCGTGTATTTTCTAAATGACCGAAAACATAGTTATTTAGTTCAACAATGTCGTGAGAATGTCGTGCCCATTTAATTTATTATGAGTATCCGTATATTCTTAATCTTATAAGGAGAACGAAAAAAAATATTCATGTCCATCTGTATTATTGTTTTTTAGCATTTTACTCGATTAATTTAAAAGCCTACCGAGTCTTGCTCGTACCGTCGATATGCTATTTTTAGAACTCTTTACATCAGTGGTCGGCACCCAATACATTGATATGATTTTAGCGCATTAGTATTTGTAACGAATAGCAGAAAGTAGGCTTTGAGCATGGCGTTGGTTCACACATTTATACTTTGTGTGTGTGGTAGAGCTCGGGCAGAGAAATTTCCTATGCCCGCGGGATAGGGCTGTGCCGACCACTGCTTTACATGTATCCGTGAAAAAAAATTGGTGCCTTCGTATGTGTGTGTGACTGCTCGCACGACGGTGTAAAAATGTTTTGCCTTCCAAATTTCAATTTCTCGACGTTTCTGTTTACAATGCGCCGATGTGCTGGTAGAACAAATAGCCCTTTAGTTCAGCGCTGATCGACTCAGCGTGGTAGCCTAATGCATAGAATAGTTGCTCTCTGTACAAATTTCCAAGGTTAGAATCCTTCTTAGAACTTCGATGTTTTTCTTTTATCTCTATCTTTAATTGTAGTATTGAAGGAAAAAATTAAAATTTATGACCGGTAAATAAAATTCCAAGGGAGTACGTCATTTTGTCATCCGACACGTCAGTAACTATTTTTCCTATTCCGTTAATTGGAGGGTAGCTTAAAGTTAATATTGGAGGGTAGCTTTATCCAACCTAATGTTGGTATTGAAGTAAAAGCAAGATCCATTGCAAAATTCGAGCTGAAGAGTAAAGATAGTAGTAGCTATTTCTGATCTCTTTGCTCTCACACTGGTTCGATGTGAACGTTTCAAACATTCATCGTTCCAAAGATGTTACGTTCTACAAATAGAATTCTCTCTTTCCCTCTCTCATCTTCCAGCCGTTTGTCGTGAAACCCGCTCTCAAATATTTTCATTTTTACAGCGGGTTCCACGACGCGGCCTGCAAAAACGGCGAAGAACACGCACTTATAAGAGATTTGTACAGCTGATTTTAAAATTTTGTATTTTTCTTCATTGGATTATACATTTTAGAAAACACTTGAAAAAAAACAATTTAAATATAATACAAATAGATTTACAACAAAACAAGAAAGGAAAGCTAACTTCGGGCGGAGCCGAAGTTGATATACCCTTTCAGTTAAAACCGGATATGTATCGCAAACATCGGATATAGTTGGCCGATCCTTACGATTACATCATAATAAAACCAATTAACTAAAATAAAAAATCTAAAAAAAGTCCCTAACTTCTATCTTCAAAAATACGATATTTGATATTTCTATGGCAGCTATAGGATATAATCGGCCGATCCTAATGAAATTTGGTAGGTTGGATCAACTGGCCAAAAATTGAATCTGTATTAAGTTTCAGCTTTCTAACTTTAAAAACACCAAAGTTATACCATTTCCGATCAATCAGTTATATGGCAGCTATAGGATATAGTCGGCCGATCCGGGCCGTTCCGACTTATATACTGCAAAGGAAAGAAGGCTGTGTGCAAAGTTTCAAGACCGAACCATAATATAACCAATTCATTACAAAAAAAAATCTAAACACGAAAGGAAACACTTCGGGCGGAGCCGAAGTTGATATACCCTTGCAGTTGAAACCGGATATATATCGCAAACATCGGATAAAGTTGGCCGGTCCTTATGAGAATATGATCATATAACCCAATTTATTATAATAAAAAATCTAAAAAAAAGTACTAAACTTCTTTCTTCAAAAATACTAAAGTTTATATATGTATCTACAAAAAACCATTTCCGATCGCTCAGTTATATGGGAGCTATAAGATATAGTCGGTGGTTCTTATAAAATTTGGTAGGTCGGATCAACTGACCAAAAATATAATCTGTACCAAGTTCCAGCTTTCTTTCTTCAATAACACAAAAGTTGGGTCACTTCCGATCGTTCAGTTATATGGCAGCTATAGGATATAGTAGGCCGATCCCTATGAAATTGGGCATGTCGTATAATTTTTCCAAAAATAGCGTTCGTGTAAAACACCAAAGTTATACCATTTCCGATCAATCAGTTATATGGCAGCTATAGGATATAGTCGGCCGATCGGTGTGAAATTTGGTAAGTCGGATTAACTGATACAAAACAATGAAGGAGTGCAATGCAGTGAAGGAGACATCTCCGACCCTATAAAGCAGGGGTGGGCAAGCCCATGGCTCCTCGGGCACTCAAGGCTCCCCCCGTAATTTTTGGCGCTAGCAAATCGTGCCAAACGATCGAGTCGCGCGGTCAGTGAGCCGTGAAGATTTACAAAAACAATGCTACACAAATTCCGAGGCAGGTAGCGGGCCCGACCCCGCGGTCCCGAGTTTGCAACAAAAATTATTAAGGGTCCGTTTGCGCACAACGCGACGACAACCATCGCGAGGGTGGTGGTTGTTGTTATAATTTGTTGTTTGGCCGAGCTGCGGCTCCGACCGTTAGATTTCGTGCCCACCACTGCTAAAAAGTATATATATTCTTGATCAGGATCACCTCCTGAGTCGAGTTGTCCATCTGTCGGATTCAACGTGAACTTTTTCTGTTTTAAAGCTATTTAAAGCTTCAAACTGTGCAAACATCCTCGGCCCGAAGTAAACTTTCCGTTCGTGCTTAGATTTCTGACTGTTTCGGTCAAACACAACAGAAAAATCGGTCTCCTTTCTCGCCGTTTTTCCGGTCTTCCTCCTGTCCACCTATAAATGTTTTTAAATGACAATTTTTATACCCTTGCAGAGGGTATTATAATTTTGTCCAAAAGTGTGCAACGCAGTGAAGGAGACATCTCCGACCCTATAAAGTATATATATTCTTGATCAGGATCACCTCCTGAGTTGATATGAGCATGTCCGTCTGTCTGTCTGTCTGTCCGTTTCTACGCGAACTAGTCTCTTAGTTTTAAAGCTATCGTCTTGAAACTTTGCACACACCCTTCTTTCCTTTGCACGCAGTATATAAGTCGGAACGGCCTGGATCGGCCGACTATATCCTATAGCTGCCATATAACTGATTGATCGAAAATGGTATAACTTTGGTATTTTTAGAGTTAGAGAGTTCAAATTGACACGAGAGCTATTTTTGGCAAACCATTACGACATGCCAAATTTCATAAGGATCGGCCGACTATATCCTATAGCTGCCATATAACTGAACGATCGGAAATGACCCAACTTTTGTGTTTTTGAAGATAGAAGTTTGGGACATTTTTAGGTTTGGTTTTTGTATTATAATAAATTTGGTTATATTATCATATTCTCATAAGGATCGGCCAACTATATCCGATGTTTGCGATAAATATCCGGTTTTAACTGCAAGGGTATATCAACTTCGGCTCCGCCCGAAGTTAGCTTTCCTTTCTTGTTTTATAACAAATGTGCTGTGTTCGAAAAAAGTGTTGCTATTTTGTAATGAAATAAATAAAACAAGAAAGGAAATCTAGCTTCGGGTGTTACAATTTTAAACGCGTGAATATCGGAATCTATAAGAGAGAGAACTATCCGATTTTAAACTTTGGACTATCTGCGTGGATACGCAGATCAAGTCCTGTGTTAAAATTAGATAGTTATAGATATTTTTTCTTTTTCCAACTATTTACTTTAGTTTTTATTTCCAAAGCATACAAAAAGATGCAACAACAACATGTACATAAATCAATAATTATCATTTATTTTCTTATCCCAATAGATATGCGTTTCTTCGCTACAATGAATACTTGGCCCGTAAGGAGGAGTTTCTATCATTGTCTGCAGTAGAGAGCAACGAGTGATTTAACAACCCCCCGCCGCCGAATGCATTTGGAATAATTAATATGTGCCCAGTGATACAGTGTATATGCCCAGTGTATATGTAAACTAGGCTTGAAAGGATACTTATGTTATAAAATGTATATACAACGTGTATTCAAAAATCATAAAGAAAATAAAAAAAAACTGAAGTCCAACTAAAATTGGTGCTCGGTTCGGCCTTTATTACATGTATATAAAGAATTTGTATATGCTCTTTAATTTTTAAATTGCTTTTTGGTATTTATATATAAAAGATAGACTAAACTGTAAACATTGCCATCATCCTTAAATTTTTGTATTACACAAATACGTACATTAGTTTGCTCGATTTTTTCTTTTAAAATAAATAAATTAAGGTGAGCGTAAAATAAAAACAAGAAAGAAAAGCTAACTTTGGACGGAGCCGAAGTCGGTTATATATCGTAAATAATAGAGCTCATTTGTTAGAATAAAAAATTAAACAAGTAAATACGGCTTTATTCCAGTTTCCCGACTATATTATACCCGGTACTCATCTCATATCCATAATTAAACTAACCTTTATAGTTTAAACTTTAGAGCAGGTGTGCCCAAACGCTGCTTACGACGGAGAAATTCCAATAAATTCAAAAGAAAACACCAACACTTGTAAGGAAATTTTTTTTTATTTCAATGGACACACCGAAAAAATTAGGGAGATACATTTTTATAATAAAGAGAATTATGAAATAACAATGCAAATGCACATGAATATGGGTGATATATTTATATTTTTACATAGTTTATTACTTTATCAAAATCAATAGTTTATATTTAATTTAAATTTAAATGCCAAGGATTGTTTACATTTCAAATGACGTGCCGACAATGCAATAACTAAAAGCATAATACAATTTCTTGAAGTCGCCAAAGCAACAACAAAATGTTCATGAAATTTTATGACCCAACAACAACCACGTGCTAGTCCAGTTACCTTGCTCAAATGCAGATGAAGAATAGATTTAAGATAACCAAAGTGAAAAATTGTTTTTGCGACATATACGCATTTGTCTATGCTCCGGAGCCAATTCCAACAACAAAGGAGCACCGAGAGCAATGAAGCTGGGCTCTCGTGCTTTAAAGGTATGGATTCTCAGAAAACAATTTTTGTTGCATACGAATTATGGGGCCAACGACCACTTATTGTGGCCTTAAATAATACCAGTAAATCGAAAGAGATTTTTCAGAGTTTATTTTTAACTATATAGCTTAGGGACCTAAAAAGCTAGTATAGAAAAGTGGGCGTGTTAGCGCCCTCTCCGCTCTTAAAAAACGGAATATTTTGGACGTTTTTACTAGACTAGACCTTTTAAATAAAATCATCAATATGCGTTTACGTTACAGGATAAATAAAATATTTGTATTTTACCACACCGCTTTCTGACCCCAAAAATGAAATGTGGAGACAAATTTGAAAACTAATGAGTTAAAATGTTGAAAAATTATTTTATATTTTCAAAATGTCCTAAAAAGGTTGTCCAGATTTGACAAAAAGCATAAGAGTTATTCAAAAAAGAGTACATATGTATGTATATGGGCGACAAAAGAGGCAAGCTACTTATTCTATTAATGGGGTTGGCCTAGAAAAATTAACCCAGGTTAATGATCTCGGCATCCTATTAGACATCAAACTTAAAATTGCCGACCATATTTCCTTAATGGTTAATAAGGCTAAAGGAGTCCTTGGTTTTATCAAAAGGTGGTCAAAAGAATTTAATGACCCCTATATAACCAAAACATTATTTATTTCTTTGGTCCGTCCTATACTAGAGTACGGTTCATGTGTCTGGAGTCCCCAATATGGAGTACATAAGGACCGCATAGAATCCGTACAAACAACTTTTTAATATTTGCACTTAGAGGTCTATACTGGGATGCAAATCTTCAGCTTCCATCCTACAGTAGCAGACTTTTACTTATAAACTTACCTAGCTTAACAAATGGTAGGACAATGCTCGGTGTAGTTTTTCTGCATAACCTTATTAACGGGGATGTAGATAGCCAGCATTTACTAACACGCTTAAATTTTAACATTCCTAATAGAAGGACTCAAAACTTTAGTCCTCTGTTCCTTAGCCGTTGTAGTTCGACATATGCACTGCATGACCCTTTTAGGGTATTATGTTCGAACTACAATGGTCTCCACTCTATTACATCTCTTTCCTGTCCCTCTTATTTAAAATATAGAATTTTAAATTTCCTTACTAACTCCTCTTAGCTTAACATATTTCAAATAGCTTAATATGTACTAACAAATCGTTTCTCGAGCGCCCCTCGGTCGTCTGGGCCTCTAAGCTTTATGATGAATACAGGAATGCTAGCTGATGCTCTTATTGATGCACAAGCCATTTCCAAATTCTGAAAGACCGCGAAAAAAAAAAAAAAAATAAAAAATTAAAAGTAGGCCGGAACATAAGACTACATCCTTAAGGTGAAGCTAGGTTAACATTTTTTTCTTCTCTGTTTAAAGATTAGATTTCCCATTAACGTATAGTGCTAAGGCCATACGCCGCTTCACTTCGAAAGGTGACGAAAAAGTTTATAACTCCTCTAAAAATAGAGGATAGCTCCTCCGATTTGGCTGTTTTTTTTTTTTCAAAAATATGTGTATATACTTTGTTGGATCGGAGATGATCACTTCTCCTATGCTCCAAAAAAAGGCCGTTGCTTCTACCTTTAAAAATACCAAAGTTGGTATTTTTACCAAATACCATTTCCGATCGTTCACATTATGTTCCATTCACGATCACACGCATTATGGAATTTCCGATACAGAAACAGACAGACAGACGGACATGTTTATATCAACTCAGGTGGTGATCCTGATCATGAATATACAGGGTGACAATAAATAACCCGAACAAACATTTTTGATCATAACTTTTTAAGGAACTGTATTTGAGAAAAAATGCAGATACACAACTATTAAATAGGCATTGTGTTAACATATCGACGCATTTCCGCGAAAGTATCGTATGTCGAAAAATCCAATTTTACAGGAGAAGCTTTTTTTTTATTTCATCTCTTACAAACAATAAGCAAAATCATAAGATGTTTAAGCGATTAGAAACATTTGTTATTGCATTTCTTTATTTTTGTGCATTTGAAGTATTTCCATGCAAAATTTTTGTATGGACATACGATAATTTCGCGCGTAGATTGAAAAGCACTCTAATATACGATAAAATTGAAACTTAACTTTTATCGCAACTATAGGGTTTTCAGTTATAATATTTCACAGGGTAGTAAGACATTAGGTGCCTAACAATTTTTCATTCAAATCTCAATTTCGAAAAAAGGCGACTTACGATACTTTCGCGGAAATGCGTCGATATATTCAGACAGTTTCGAAGTGGCTTCCTTGGGCTGCGACGCAGAGCCCTAAACGTTTCTGGAAATTTAGCGCAATGGGCCGCAGGTCTTCTTCCGATAATCGATTCCATGCTCGGAGCAATGATTGCTTCAGCACCTCCAAACTTATGTGGCGTTTAGCACATGCCCTGGACTCCAAAATAGACCACACACTGTAGTGCATTGGATCAAAGATTATAAAGTACATAGATGGGAAATCTCATACAAAGAAAAATTTTCTATGGCGGGTTCCAGCAGTGGAACCCGCTGGAACGAGCGGGTTCCATTGCTCGACAAGTTAAGTTTGAGAAATTTTTCGCGGGACAACGAATGAGGAATAGCCGAGTGGTAGAGTGCTTGGCTGGTGTGCAAAGTAAAACGAGTTCATACCAGGCTCGGGAAGTCCATTTTTTTTTAATTTTTAATCTATTTATATTATTGTTTTATTATTTTAATGTGCTTTCCTAAATTTATAATCCAATAAAAAAAAATACAAAATTGTAAAAAAACCTTAACATCGTCTCAGTTCGTATTGGAACCCACGGTAAAAATGTCTATAAGTGCGGGTTCTACGGCATTTTGGCAGGCCGCGTCGTGGAACCCGCTCTCAAGTGTTTTCATTTTTTCCGTCGTGGAACCCGCTGTAATAATGAAAATATTTTAGAGCGGGTTCCACGACAAACGGCTGGCAGATTAGATAGGGAGAGAGAGAATTCTATTTTTAGATCGTAACATCTTTGGAACGATGAAACTTTGAAACGTTGTAATCGAACCAATGTAAGAGAAAAGAGATCAGAAATATCTTTTACTATCCTTACTCGTCAGCTCTGTTTTTGGTATGGTTTCTAGCGCCTTCTTTAACACCAATTTTAAGTATCATAAAATCAACTTCGAGGGTAGCCTAGATGGATAGTGCGCGGTCCTTATTCTTGGGGTCCTGGGTTCGACTTCATTAGCGGGCGGTTGTTTCGATTTTGATAAAGTTTTAGTTTTATGATTCTTTTTATATTTACTTTTATTTTTTTATTATTTTTTTATTTTTTACTTTTAATTTTTACGTTATTATTATTATTTTTAATTGCATTCTATAACAATTAAAGTAAAAATAAGTGACGGACGTGTCGGATGACAAAATGCCGGAAGGACTCCCTTGAAATTTTATTAGCCGGACATAATAAAGAATTAAACAATTTTACAATTGTAAAATTAAAGAAAAATATTACAATTAAAGAAAATAATAATTATATAATAATAATAATAATAATTATAAAAGAAAGAAAAAGTTCAGTCCTTACGAGGATTTGAACACAGAAAAATTACACATAGAGTAACTACTCTATGCATTACGCTACCATCCTGTCTTGATCTGCGGCGATCAAAAATACTATTTGTTCTACCAACTACCACATCGACGCATCAAAAACAGAAACGAGAAATTGAAATTGAAATTTGGAAGCCAAAACCTTTTTACTTCGTCGTGCGAGCAGTCACACATACACACATAGGTTCACATTTTTGTTGACGGATACATGTAAAGAGTTCTAAAAATAGAATCGTATGCATGTGCGTTCCCCCCTCACCAACAAGCTCGACGCAAAAAGTTGACCGTTTTGGGCCCTGATGTCCCATCTATGTACTTTATAATCTTTGATTGGATTAAGATCTGGCGAGTAATATGGCCATTCACTGGATGTGATAAAGTCCGGAAAATTGGCTTTGCACCAGTCTTGAGTCAATTTGGGTCTATGGGTTGGCGCTGAATCCTGTTTAAACGTCCACTCCGTATCACCGAAGTGCTGCTGGGCCCAAGGAAGCACAACAGTTTCCAAAATGTCCCGGCGGTACACTTCCTGATTGATTTTGACCCCTTGATCGATGAAAACAAGGGGTGTTTTACCGGTGGCGCATATTTCTCCCCAAACCATTAAAGACTGCTCACATTGATGGCGCTCGATTATTGCAGAGGTACCTGCAGCTTCAGCCGACCAGCTTCTGTCATTTCGGTTATTGTGCGCCTGTTGGATGGTGAATACCTTCTCGTCCGTGAAGAGAATACGCTCCCATTTTTGATTTGCGGCCCGACGCTTTAGCTGACGGCATCTTTGGAGTCTCACGCGCTTGTTGTCTTCCGTAAGAAGATGCACTTTTTGGAGCTTGTAGGTCTTGAGATTAAGTTAATTTTTTGCAATCAACCGAACACTTTCTCGATTCACTCCGATTTCACGGGCTATTTTTCTGGCCTAGACTCTGCAATTCCGAATGATCCTCTTTTCACGATCTGGCGAATTCTGGAAGTGTTAGCGGCGCATGGTCTGCCTCGTCCGGGACGGTCACCTTCATGGCCAAGCTCA